GTGCTACCGCTTCCCCACGAAGGCATACTGGAAGGAGGGAGAAAATATCTTATAAGTTACTTGATTAATTATTGAAATCTAGAATTTTAAATTTAGTTAACAGGAAACGATTTGCGCTTAGTGCATAAAATCACAACAAACTCCCGTTTACCTTTCTTAACAGTATTTTAATATAAGAGTTTGCAATTAAAAATTTGCTTGATTTGAAAGTTTTTGCACACAAGTAGGTGCAGTGTAAGGAATTAATTATGCCAAAACATGAGGAAACTTACAGTAAGGTAATTCACTGTTATTTACATTAAGTTATTACAAATTTAAGAATAAGAACAGTAAAAATTAAATTTTACAGGATTTCAACAAACAACATAGCTTTTTTAAGTCATTTTACAAAATTTGAAACGTCACTAACGAGTTAGAACTACTCGTGGGATACGAATAGTAAAGTTTCCATAATTTTTAACGGCGTAACATATGAAAAAGGCTTCAGAAAAGCCACTCATGGTGTCACCGATGCTCAGATTTTAGTCAACAATTTAAATTCTGAATACAAAAATAATAGTTACGGTAACTGCCTGTGTGCTTTTAGCTACTTCCATGTCTGTTGCCAACTTTCTGCCTGGAATCAGGTTTTATTTCACACGATCTATTATCCAAGATTGTTTCATTTTTTATTTGAGTCTTAAATTGAAATGATTAACAAACTAAACTGTTGAAAAGGAATAGGGGGAGTTCTTAAGAATATTATTTTTTTACTTTTGAATCGTACTGATTTCAATGAAATTGCACTAAATTCTAATTAAAAATATAATTAAAAACATTCAACATTTTTTAAAAATTACGTTCTATATTTTTCACTTTTCAAATATGCATAAGATGTATAATGTTCGCGTGTTACCCTAATTGTCTATTCATCCAGTACCCTATAAAATGTTTCGCTATTCCACCTGGGCCACCTGTGTTGCTAATCTCTATTCATAAACAATATTAAATTTTAAAAGAAACCTTTTGGGCGACTATTAAAATCTGAATCCTTTCAGATTCCCTCCCTCTTCCAAAAAATGAAAAAATTGTTCTGATAAATAATAACAGTAGTTGTATTTGTAGAATCTTTCTGAGTATCGTAAGTCTCTTTTTAGTAATAGAAAGAAGAGCCAGTGTGGAAACTAAATTCAAATAATCTCTTCTTTTCATTATCTAATGAAAGATCATTATCTAAGAAACTTTCATTATCTAAGAAACTGCGGACACTTATCTGAATTTGGATACGAATTATATCTTCATTAGAAGCTGTCTGAATTCAGACCTTTTTTCTTTTCCTCCACCACTGAAAGCAAATTCTTATCTAGCATTTTATTTGCATTTAAACTCTGTAAAAACACGAATTTTTGTACAGCAGGAATGGCAACATTTTATGTCGACAAGAATTGCATGAGATAATTCCGAAGTATTCCAGAGCCGCAACTAGACATGTATATCAATTTTAAAAGCAGTAAAATAGGTCTGATTAAAAAGAAGCATTACATTACATGTAAATTCACAAGTATGTTTCATTTTTAATGGATGTGTTTGTTTATTTTAGCGCAAATAAATAATTCTCGTTACATTTGCTGTATATGCTCATCGGAGGAGAGTATGTATGATGTGCCTTTCCTTTTTGTATCAGGTGCTTCCCCCCCTTTTTTTAGTATATAAAAACCCATGAGATTTCTTCTGATTTTTTTTTTTTTTTTTTTTTTTTTTCCCAAATTTTTGCTAACCAAAATAGTTTTATAAAAAAAGGAAATACCTGTAATAATTTTTAACGACTGCAGCTAGTGTATTTCGTATAAATATTTAATGTTTTGATTAGGTTAACATGACTTAAATGCATTTTATTAAAATAATCAGGTTAAGTGTAAAAAAAAAAAAAAAAAAATTTAGAAATCAGAAATGTATTAAAATCGCTCAAAAGAAAATAAGTATTTTAAAAAAAGTCGGCTTCGGTATGCCTATGTCGGGGGGAGGGCTACGTGTGTTCAAAATTTAGTGTTTAGATTCGCCATTTTCCGAAAATGCAGGAACATGCATACATACACACAGATCTTCATACTTAATAGTAGAGGTCGATATCATAAATGTCAATGATTTAATAATAGTAAACTGAGAAAAAACATGTCATTGATTTTATAAAAGTAGACTGAACAGAAAATGAACTGGTATGCGTTTTCTAATATAATAGAAGTTTTCCATTCAGTGAGGAATACCGTATTTCCTCACGATACCGAATTCCTCCGGATTTCCTCACGTTAACATTTAACGGCAGGTTTGAAAAAAAAAAAAAAAAAAAAAAAAAAAATATTCGCGCAGTTTTCACCTTCCTCAGTGTATTCAGAAAACAAGTTTCCCTAAATTTTAAAACAGATTCGTTCACATAGGGATTATTTTTGTCTTTCTAACAAGGGCAGATCCTCGCAAACTACCTGGGAAGGTTATAGCGAACCTTTCTCTTCTAACTGTCGAACTTAATGCCAGCCTAATACAAGAACCGACACATAGCATAGAAGTAAACACGAAGTGACATTCAGCCTACGAATTCGCCGCGTAGGCTGCACATTCAACTTCCTTAATTAGTATGAATTGGATCATATGAAGTATTCCATGTCCAGAACATGTAGGATCTTTGAGAGGTTTGGCACTCAAAATGTCCATCTTCTTCAATGAGGAAAAAAGAAAACAAATTATCTCTCTCTCGCGTGGTCCTGAAGAAAAATGGATAGCGTTCTCTCGCTCTCTTTTATATAGAGATAGGCGAGGGAGCACGTGACAGGTAGTATGAATCTTAAGAAAGGTCACATTCGTATATATTTTTTTGGATATCGCGCGCATCTCAATAAATAAATAATAAAGATTACCTTGGAAAGAAAGAAAATCATGAACTCGTGCTCGACTTTGTGGATCCTTTATTGTGAAAGAACTGGCTTACGTTGAATGGCACTTCTCGAGGGGTATTTGTTTTTAAACCCCCGTTTCCATGGAAAATGCTCACCGAAAAAGAAAAACGAACAACTGTGTGGGCGAGTGATTTTATCACGGCTTGTCGTGGTACGAAGAAATTCCGTACAGTTATTTTCCATGGGTGTTAACGATGTGACGGAACCTTTTTCCATGATTTGGGGCGAGGAGAAATGAAACGGCGTTTTTAGAGAATGGTTGCAAAGATCCATTTATTCATTGCAAGATCTCAAATACAATGGGACGACACATGAATTGTCCTAACCATACAAAATGTTTTTCCATTGCGCTCACAAAACAGTTCGTATCATAGTTTAAAGTCCATAGATTATTAACTATATAGTATTTCTTTAAAAATAATACATGGCGGTAACATTGTTTGATTTGTGTTGGGTGATTTCAGTACTTTACTAGTATTGAGACCAGAAATGTATGTATTAACATACATATGTATGTGTGTGTATACATAGACACATACATATATACATACATTTCTGAATCCAGTTTCGATGACGGAAAAGTGCTAGTTTTTTTATATTTGCAGTATTACTTCTTTAAAATTGATTCATGGAGATAGCATTTGGTGCCAACATTCTTTAATATGAAAAGTGATTTGGATAAAAAAGTAGGGATCAATGCAAATAATACCTCTGGTGCGTTAAAAAAAGAAAAGAAAAAAAAAACCTTTTTTACTTTTATATTTGCTATTAACTCTCATTTGATTTTTCAGACTTTTAGAGGTAATACTGATGTAATTATTAAAAATTGCCTTAAGTAAGAAAAGGAAATTAAAAGTTCCTATTTTTCCCAGCTATTAAATAAAGTAAATGTTTTTTATTTTAAAGATATAAATCCTAATATTTATGTAATTAGTTTAATTAATATTTTATTACATTTCAGAAAGCTCAAGAAGCTCATGATGTTCTTCTAATGAAGCAAGAACAGTTATCTTCTGCTTTACAAGCAGCTAAAAATGATTCTTCTGGACCTCAGACAGATTTGCTGCTTTTGAGGGATAGAGTGAAGCTGCTAGAGTCGACCGTTGAAAGTGTAAATGCGGACAAACGCATGTTGGAAGCACAGTTGACTGATTGTCAAGAACAGCTCTCTGCTAGTCAGATTGAAGTTTCACAGTTGAAATTACAGCTTGAAAATGAACAACAAAAGGTATTTGATAACCTTTTTGAGATTTTTAAATTAAAGTTTCTGTACAAAGCAATATTTCTTGAACTCTTTTCAACTGAGAACCACTTTCAGAAATTAGAATGTTTTGCGGACCACCTTATTCTTCTCTGCTTTATAGCAGTTTTATAGCATATGTTACTACCAGTGTACTTATAGTTTTAAAGTATAATTAATTAAAATTAGTTTAATTTTATATCCATATTTAATAAAAGAAAATTGTGTTTGATTTTAGTATTTCAAGGGTCATAAAGTTTGGGTAATCTTTATTTAATTTAACCTGTAGACAAAATGGAAAACTAAGAACATGGAACATATGACATCACATCTGATAAAGAGCATAGCATTGCAGTAATTTTGATGGAATGCAGTTCTGCATAGGTATAGCGACTAACTTTGATACAATTTGTCAACTTTAGTGGCCAAGTGGTACTCTAGGAAAGAAAACAAATCTGTATCTGGAAAACAGCCTAACCTCATTGGAAATTGCCACAAGTATATGGATGACATGAACTTTCAGGAAACTTTTATTGTAATGTGTATAGAGTGCAACGTAAGAACGTAAGAAACATAAGAAATAGTAATGGACTGTTTTTACAAATTTTATTTATGTAGCTAAATTAAATGCAAGGAAATTTTTAAGATTGCTATAGACCCTAAAGATGATCCCTGTTGGATTTTCAAAGAAGTGTTGTATTGGCACTGCTGAAAACAAGGTAAGAATATTCTGAAATTTCGCAACTTTCATCTTTATATACTAATAGTGTTGGTGGACCAATTGAGCCTTATGCGAAATGAGAAATGAACCCTCGAAATCACATTATTGAGAAAATTCAACTAAAAGATATAAATACTGTGATAGTCAAATGATAACTGTTTGTAATAAATATGATGTACAAAATGTACCTCTGTATAGCAAATGTTTCAAAGATTATTATGCATCCCAAAAGTTGCATTTTTGAAACATGTTGTATTCTCAATGAAAAAAAAAAAAATCCCTCTAACTTTTTTCTTCTCTTAATCAAACTCTAATATGACAGAAAATAATTTTTGTTCATTTCCTTCAAGTGAAAAGTAGTGTTGCCGTTAATGGATTAAACTTATGCCTGCAAGAAGCCTTACCTTTCAAAGCTGACCAGTATCATGGAGCTAAGCAAAGTAAAGAATGGCTTACTGTTTTATTTCGTGCAAATGTTTGCGGTATGGAGGAAATGACTCCTTCAGTTATAAAAATCTTATAACTGAAGGAGTCATTTCCTCCATACCGCAAACATTTGCTCGAATTAAAACAGTAAGTAAGTCACAAAAACCAAAGTGTTTCAAGCATGTTAAAACTCTGCCATTAGAATATAAAGCAAACAGGAAAGCATGCATGACTACTGGCATTTCTACAGAATGACTTAAGAAAATAGACAAAAGCACAAAATTTAATTTTTTATATATCAGTGTACCGTCCATTCTCAAATAATAGATTTCTTGCAAATGTAAAAGTTGTTTTTTCCTCAGCAAACTGTACTTGTTTTGTATGGCCTTTATATAGGTATCATTAAGAATTTTAAAATATTCTATAGAAAAAGGGTGATTCAAATAGCCCTTCAAAATATAACTACAGAAAGTAGACAAAATATTCCTGAGGCTATGAATATGATTTTACATGCCTGGACTCAAACAATTAAATACTTCTTCATTAAAGCAGGATTTTTGAACCAAGAGTCAAGTGAAAGTGTTTACCATGAAAATGATGATGAGACTGATTATGGATGCAGGAGATTGGAAACTATATAACAGGCATCAGCAAATTATGGTATGCAGTACAATTCTCAGTGCCATGCTACACCACTCTGCAAAGTTATCAGATAACGGTAGATCGCCTTGTCTCTGCACTCTCATGCCTCACTCATTTAGTCTCCTTTCATTTAGTTTGTCATGCTGTTTCACAAGTATAGAGCACGATTTCAGTTGAAAATAGAATTTAGTTTGGTGAATGTTGTATGCTACAGGCTACTTTTTAACTTTACGATCAGTTCTTAGTTTTATTATGAAAACTTGTATTTGTTTAATTATTCTGACAATCATACCTACATATTTAATCAAATGGCCTCTAAAAAAAGATAATTTTATGTTCACGGTTATCAAGACACTTGGACAAATGAATATGGATTCATACAAAAAAGGATGCTCCTGTATGAGTGTTATGTCGCAAAAGCATAGTATATCATACGTCAAGTGTACAAAGACATTTTCAAACTAAATATCAGTCTACATTTCAGAATTACGATGAAAAATGTGAAGTTTTAAAAAGAGCTGCTACTGGATATAAGAAACAAAATACATTTTGTCAAACAATAGGGACCAAACCTAAAGCAACCAAAATGTAGTTTCCTAATTGCTCATTGGGAAGCAGCAAAGGCAAATTTACATATCTCTGTGAACAAATCTATTCTCATATAAAAACTACATTGAGTCCATAAAGAAGCTGTTTAGAAACTGAACATTCAGAATCATGTGTCAAACTGAAAGTCACAAGTTATACTCTTGATATTGTAATATTAAGTTGAACAGTTCAGCAACAAAATTTTAATTCTTTATTTAACTATATTGAAGGAATACTTATATTATAAATATATAATAATTATATTTATTTCATATTTACCTATATAATAATCATATTTATTTTTATGTTCATATTTATTTTTATGTTGTTTCGTCGGCGCAAATCTCACCAAGCAGACTTTGTTGGCGACAGCATACAGTATACACATAAAAAATTTTTAGTTCTAAGAATTTTTTATTTTGAAGGCATAAAATTTTAATTTGGTTTAAAATTTTGTAAAAAGCCAATAAATAAAGATAATAAATTTGTAAAAAGACATTAATTTAAGAATTCACTATGCTTTCATGGTTCAACATCCTGATTCACTGGTTCGTATCACGTGGCCCCAAAGTTATCTCATCTCACGTAAACTGCGCTACAAAAATCTAATTCTGTCAGTAATTAGCTACATTAATGTCAAGTTAAGTATTAATTTGGAATACAAGTTTAAATACGAGAATTCATACGAATAGCTTACTCAGAAATTATGTAAAACCGCAGTGCATTCTCAAAATAGAATTGATGAATTTAACCTCTCATTTTGCCTTTTCTATATTTTTGCCTTCGGGTGAGTGGTGTGATTGCATCCTAATTGACTTAATTACTGCGAATGGTCTTAGGGCATAAAGTTTAACTATCTTGTAAACATTCTATGTAATTGTATGCCAGTATTGAAAGAACAATCAATCTGATAAGAGAAGACTGTGACTTGTTTTGGAAAGGAAGCGTAAAAGGTTACCAGCGAAGATATTCCGTTTGGCATCAGTTGTACCATTATTGGCGACTTTATCGTTTGCGCCGGTAAAACGGAAAAGTGCCATATTTTTAAACGATGCATAATTAATATATTGACTTGTTCCCTGACTCTGCATGCATTGTGGTGGGAATTGAATTGTTTCAAATATTTCTTACTGTGGAGCATCTTGAGTCATATTGGTAGATTGGTTTGGCACACCACAGCTACACCCCTGCTATATACATTGCAGTTGAGTAATGTTTGAACTGTGATGCTAAAGTAATGACGTCAGATCTATGCGCATTTGAAAAACTGATTGAAAACGTTTTACCAGATGAAACTTAAATAGGAGTGATGAAGAAGAAAATGAAGAAATAAACCAATCTTTTTTTTTTTTCAAAATGCTAATTACTATATTGACATCCACAGAAATTTCTTGGAGTGTAATAATACAAGCCAGAAACCATTTCAAGAACTGAATTTAATTCATAGCACTTTGCTTAAGATTCAGAATCAAAAGACATGTCAGATGATAATTGCACACTCTTTCTCCAAAAAAAGTTAAAATTTGCTTTAAAATGTTCTTGAAAGAAAAAGTGTTACTTTATTTAAGATGGCAATTCAAATCAAGATTTGACTTTTTTTTTTTTTTTTTAATTTTACATGACTTTATACAGAAATGTGCATTTTTACAATTTTATACATATTTGCTACTGGATAAGTAATATTATTTTTTAAAATATTAATTCAAAAAAATTGTTTATTTATTTTAAAATATTAATATTAATTAAATATTTATTTACAATATTAATTTTGAATTTGTTTGAATGTAATTAATATTATAAACAAATTGTGTAGATAATATATACAGGATGTGCCATAACTTTAAAAATTCATAATAAAAGTTTATAATGTTCAGAATAAATTTCGGTTTGCACAGATATGATTCTAAAAGTAGCTGAAAGAGGTTGCTCACACATTATACTCAGATGTTTATGCAAATGATGCAAACACAAACAGACAATGAAACAGATCACAATAACATGACGCTGTACATGTTCAACATGACCACCAGCACAAGGTATTGTGAAAGTGAGGCACAGCACTATGTTTATTACAGTTGTATGTAGTATGTTGGCACTGATGTCATCGGCAGTCCGTCAGATGGCATCTTTTGGCTCCACCAAAGTGGATGGGGAGTCCCTGTACGCACAAAACTTAAAACAAAAAGTATCCCCATAACCAAAGATCTGTTGGAGTCAAGTCTGGTGATTATAATGGCCATTTGACTTTTTCTTCAGTGAAAGTTTCCAGTGTAGAAAAGTCTTGACTTCACATGGCAGTGTGGGGCAGGGCACCATCCTGCATGAAGGTGATGACAGATAATGCATGCTGTCCTGGAATGTAGGCACAACTGTGTAATGCAGAAGCATAACGTACTGTTCTGCAAAACTTGTACAGGTTATCCAGCCAGATATAGAAGAATGCTGTTAAAAAAGGAAAGGGCCTAGAATGGAAGACATATTGAAGCCACATCAAACTGTCATATAAGGAGAATGCAGTGCCTTGATCAGGTAGGATATGACATTGCCCAGATGCGACTGTCTTGCGTATTGACATCACTCTGCAGCAGGACTGTGGAGTCAGTAGGGAAAATGTAGACTCCTAGAATTTTAGATTCCGACTCATATACATTTAAATGTATACACATGGGTTACGGCTTATTTTTTTTTAATATAAAAAAATAATAGGAGCTACAGAAAAAAAAAAAAATGATGGCATAAGCAAATTATTTATATTAATTAGCATTTATTATGAAATGGAATAACTGGCATTAGTAGTTTCTAAGAAACAGTATAGCTTTGGCAAGATCTTTGTTAGAGGATCATAGATAGATCCAATTTGATAAACTTCAGAACTGAGAAGAGTTTTTCCATGCTGACATGTCTATTGAGAAGAAGGAAGAGCTGTTACCCTTAGGGCTATTTCTTTTAGATTTTTGGGATAGATTTTTATATGTTCTAAAAGAGGTATCTTGCAAGAACAATCATATTTCTCTATTTCTTCAAAGGCTGTGTAAATTTTTTTTTTTTTTAATTTTTATTTTTATATCTAAAGGCTCTTGGTTCTTTATTTTCATTCACTTTGTCGTAGCCTTTTTAATATTATCCAAATGTTTCTCAAAATCTAATTCATCACTGGAAGAGGATGATAGAGACTCAGTTGCAATGTCTGCGGTTTGAGTATCCTGATTTGAATACTGTATTTGTTCTGAGAATAATTTCATTCTTAATGAAAGTTCATAAATAGCTTTCTTTGCCTTTTTAATTTGTTTGTCATCCAACGAAATTCGGTGTTTTGGATCTACATATGTTGAACCCAGCAAAATCTCATTGTCTAACAAACTAGTTTCTCTTTTCTTCTTTAGAAAAATGATTTCTTCTGCAGTAAACCCTCCATTTCAAAAGAGCAAATATCACATTTTTCCATTCTCGCCTTTTGTCAGTTCTTCAGTTTGCGGCTTTTTTGTGGCTATATATGGTGTAGAAAGAAGAGTTTCCAATTCTGCAAGATCATTCCACAGTCTTTCTGTTAGTGAAACATTAGGGCTATCTACATCTTCTAAAAAAGCTCTTTATTCTAAAAACCTCTTTATCATCAAATGTGTACTTCCTTATCGTGTTGCTTGATCAATAATTGCTCCTTTTCCTGCTTGCTTACCTAAATTTACCGGTGAGATTTGTAACTAAAGGAATCAGTTTAATCATTAATGGCAAATATCACATCCATCCTCCTCCCTTATATTTATTTATTAATATGCCAATAAAATAAGAAAATAACTATTTATTAATGTATATAGTCCATAAATAAAAATAATAACTCAGCTTGTCATTAATTTTTTCAATTCATTTTAATTTCATTTCAAATTCAAACTGTCCAACAAAAACTGGAGTCAGAGTCGACCTGTTTTTAGCGACTCCAGCTCCGACACCTTTTACTCCAAAATCTGCCCGACTTCGATTCCGACTCCACAGCCCTGGTTACCAGAGTACAAAATATTTATCTTTTCTGCTACCTTGATAACCACTACAGATTTCAAGAGTAATATCAACATGGTAGTTACAGATATGGCACTATTTGCCTTTTGTTTTTACAAGATTCCATATAGAATACGTCGAATTGATGATTCCGGAATCCCAATTATTCTAATAGCTTCACAAGGCTGCTACTTGCCCCTGATGTCCCGACTGCCAATTCTTTCGTGACACTTTGTACAACATGGATGCAATCCATACTGAAGGGTGGTCTGCCACTTCATAGACGATCCTTCAAATTCCCTATTTCCTCAAAGCATCATTCTAAATTTATTTTTCCATTCAGTGAGATAGGTCTTTTTTTGTGCCTTCAGTCTTTTTTGTAGAAAAGTTTAACCACTAATACTGAATCTGGTAATGATAGCATGCTGTTGGCATCATATGACGAATCCATTTCTAGCCAGATGTTTTATTGCTAGCCTAATTTTCATAAACCATTTCAATATGACGTGTCCGTGCCCTGTTTCGGTTACTTTTGGAATATTTTTTTATATGTGGAAAAGAAATCTGATGCCCCTCTGATCATATTCGCCCAAACTAAATTTTTTTTAAGCCTTGCTACTTTTATTATGAATTTATGATGCACTCTGAATATGTTTCACATCATAAATTAAAATCTTGTGTGTATGTCTTTCTCATTTATGCATCGTTTGTGAATGGTCCCTTAAAAGATGTTTAAATCATGCTCCACTGTAATATAATTTCCACATCTGTCTTGCATGACCAAGTTAAAGTGATGTGCAAATAGTTACCAAGTTAAAGTGAAGTGCATGTAAATAGAAGTCGTTCTGCTCTTCTTCAGAATAAACATCCCATTTGCACTCTCACTGCTGACAGGTAGAAGCTTTATGATACCCTTATATTATTTGCTAATTCAATCAAGATTTTCACAAATTATGAAAACAGTTTTTATATTTTAAAGTCTCAGTCTTACATATTTTAGTCTTAGATATAGTGATAATATAAAAAGATTCAAAACTTTTGAAATCAAGATTAGGAAGATTTTTATGTCACTATATTGTAACTACTGTTGTCAGCTCATTGCTTTGAAGCTTTTATTTTCCCTTGATAATTGAAAAATTGGGATATAAAATATTTTGAGAAATTATAGAGGATTCCTCTAAAATTTAATGCTGTATCCTCAAGCTTGAATGAAATTCACGAGACACAAGTGGTTTGGAAAACCTTTTTTTCCCCCATATCTTTAACATAATGAATTGTTTCAATATTTTTTTCCTTTGTACGAATTTGTATTCTGTGAATCTCATAAAAATTCTTCATTTGTTGTTCTTAAAACATAAATTTATTTAATAAATTTCTCCTAAAAAAGTAGAAAAGATGTAAATTTTTTCTTTAATATGGCAGCATTCCAAACTAAAAACTTCGGAAATTGTATTAAATATTACGTTCATTTCACTGAAGTTTAGGAATTAAAAAGACTACTGTAAAGAATCCGATTTCTTTTTATTTGTATTTTCTGGAATCTTTTCCTGTATTAATTTTTGTTTCTATAACATTAATTTTGTAATGTACAATAAATGCCGCTAAATGTGATCTTGTTTATTCATGGCTATTTTGATAACTTTAAACAATGAGAAAAAATATGCTACAAAACAGCAATAGAATTTAACTAATTTAATATAAATAAAACTAAAAACTTATAATTAGGCACTTTCACAGCATTTCAATTAGGAAAGTGCGAAAGTTTGTTTATGAGCTGTTCACAATGTCTTTAATACAGTACAAAGTCTGTAATTCGGACTCGTCGGGACTTCAGCGATTCCGGATTAGGGGTTTTTCCAGATTATAGATCATCAATTTAAATCTGGTAAGATGGCATGCAGAAATTATACAATGAAAAAAAAGAGCAATTATGATCTAAAGGGTATCAAATAAAAAAAAAAAAAAAAAGCTTAATATTATTTTTGTTTGCTTTATTAAACCTTGCACATGCGTAATGTATGCGCATTCTTTACACGCATGCATCAAGTTTGTGGTTTTGAGATCCGGATAATGGACGTCTGGATTACGGACTTTGTACTGTATAAAATTTTATATATGAACAGTTCATAATATTTCTTATTTCATTATTCTGATGTCATTTTCTTATTCTAACAGTTTAATGTAAACATTTTCATTTGGCCGATGCTATACGCCTTATCTCAATATCCAGAGTTATTCCCTCATTCACTTGAAGAGAAAATGTAAATTAAAATTAGGCAATAAAGCAACCTTAGTTTGACATAGATGTTTTTAGGGAGTTATTGGTATTTTTCTGTTATCGGGACTGGATTCAGAAATGCATGTAAATGCATATATATTTGTGTGTATATGCACCATAGATACCTACCTACCTGCTTTCATACATATTCTGAACTTGGTTCCGATAACAGAAAAGTACCAAATTCCTTGGGGGGGGGGAATTCTCTAGACAATTTTTTTTTTTTTTTTTTTTTTTTTTTATATATATATATATATATATATTCCTAAAAAGAGCTCCCTATTCCCTAAAAATAGATGGGTAGTTTGAAAATCTTCATCAGAATTAAAATTGATTTTTGCCTGGTTTTAAATATTTGACTGATCAAAACTAAGATGTTTTGCAATTTAATTTCTTGCTTGGTATCATTTCTTTGCAGTTTCACTATTTTTATAATGGCATTCTAAATTTATTTTGCGATTTATTTCAGTTTAAAAAAATTATTCTATAACCTAATTTTTTATCCCAAGCAATTTATTTTCCATGTTTTCGTGTACAAATGGGCAGGACTTCATCCAAATGATAATATTAACTGTGATCACTCTAAGCAGCATTCTGTTGTAATTATTATGTATTTCATATCATAATTGTTATGCTTGTTATTTGCAGGTATTAGAACTCCAAAGAGAGCGTGAAGCTGGAGCAACTTCTGAACTCAATACATTGCTGCAAGAAACTCGAAAAGATAAAGAGAAAGTTGAGGAGAGAGCAGTACATTTACAAGAGCAGTTAGCTCATAGTCAACGAGAAGTTGCTCGTTTGAAAGATCAACTTCATCAGCTGCAAGAGGAAAACATGGTAAGAGTCCGATTTTATAATAACTATTTTACAATTCATGCAAAAAAAAGTTTATGAAATTTTGCCTTCAAAACATAAAAAAATAAAGTGAGGCATGAAATACATAAAAAAAAAAATAAATAAAAAAATAAAAAAAATAAGTATTTAAAAAATAAAAAATCTGAAGGGTTCAGTTTCTAACAGTAGCATAACAAAGCTGTTTTAAAGTTCAAATGGTTTATCAACAGAAATTATTAGTAATGAAGCTCCAAATGGAATAGCAAAAGATTTTATAGGATACTAAATGAAGAAACATTTAGACTAACACGGGAATAATCTGTATCATTATTTGAAAAGTAAAAAAAAAAAAAAAAAAAAAAAAAAAAAAAAAAGAGCATTCATTCTATTAAGATATTCAGTGTTTTGAATTAGATATCATGAACTTTGATTATAATAATTTAATATCACAAACTGAATGCATTTTTATTTCAGTCAGTGAGATTGAAAGTAAACAATTGATTGGATTGGATTATTCAATTATGGCACAGCACACACACACAGGCAATCTGCCTGAAGGGATGGATGCCTTTGTGGAGGGCTTTCTAAGGAAAAACTGGCTCGTATACACGTTATACATGGCTAAAACCATGAAAAACACCCATGCAGCCAGCCCATTCGGGGGATTCAATCAAACCTCGCACCGAACTACCAGTGTTCAGCGCTCTTACCGCTCGGCCGCTGGTGGGCCTGAAAAGTAACAACAAAAAAATTTGGCTCATCTTTAGAATATGGTAACTGGTAGTTTGGCGACATTTTGGAAGCGATAAAGGTTACTACCTGGGACTTTGGTAATAATGTGAGCAGTACTCAGTTCCGATTACGCATTATTTTATGTGAGGGAAATGATAGATCATGGGATATGTCATGTGATATTAATGGACGAGTTACGGTTCTTTAATCGGAAAAGCGGGGAATTTGGAAAAATATCTGTGGCTGTATATTATTTTGTGTTAAGCTTCATTGTGTGTTGTGTGAAGTAGGGTTGAATAATTTTGGGATAGTATGGCACTGTCTAAAGTGAAAAATCGTATGAATGTTTGGAAGATGAAGGTTTAAACATCTTGTTGTGAACCACAAATTATTTTAAAGATCCGGAAACAGGTGCACATACCAATACAATAGGGCGTGGGAGTGCTATAAAATGCCGCCATTCCGAGGCATTGTAATAAAGAGAATTTTGCTTTTTATTTAGCAGAGGAAGTGTGGAGGAAAAATTCGCAAAAAAAATCGTTCAATAATTTTATTTGAATACATAATAAAAGTGTATCCACCATGTAAGCAAGATTCTGAAGAAGATTAGGTAAGTTAGTATTTTTAATTTTTGAGGATATTATTTTTATGCATTGTTTGTTTAAATGCAAGGTGGAAGTAATTTGGTATTATGGGAAATTGTTATTAGCAATGATTTAGTTTTAAGTAATTAGGATTGTAAGCTAATTTATTAATTTAATGTGCTTATTTATATTTTAAGTATTGTTTTGAATTTAATTATATATTTATTAAATGATAGTTATTTTGTGAATTTTATGTTTGTAGGAATTGGTATACGTTTTAGTTGAAGTAACGTGCATGGAAATAATTTAAATATTTGACACTAAGTATTTGTAATGCTTGCGGTATGAATTCATTGGCGACGTTTAATATAATAGATAATTTAGAAGTAAATGTTTTTGGATATTTTATTTATTTTATATGTGGAAATGTTCATATTTGGAAAGGGTATATACTTTTTCGCGATTAGGTAATTTATTTATGTTCTTTTTTACCGGGTTTAAGATTCAGAAAATTGTCATGTTTTTCGTGAATTTTTTCTAATTTTATGAGAGAAAAAAGCAGTGTACATGGATATAGTGAAGAGTATGCGCAGTGCCATTTTTGTGTAATTCTGGGATGTTTTTTAAGTAAAAATAAGTCGACGTTATGTGTTATTTTGAAAAACGCATAAGGAGTATGGTATTGTGCACTTTTTCCCAATTTTGCAGTGAATATTTGTCATGATTAAGCATTTTGTTAGCTAAAATTCTAGCATAAGTGTAATTCAGCTAGTAGATTGTTGGAAGAAGTGTTCAGTAGATAAAAAGAAAAGAAACATGTCTTTACTTCGTGAAGACAAAATGGCGGCGGGAAAAAAAAAATAGAGGTTTGCTGTAGGAGAGTTGGTCGCCAAAAAAACGCCAAGTTACCATAATCTAAAGATCAACCAAAAATTTTTTTTTAATAAAAAATCTTAAAAAAAGGGGGATATTCTTAAGAACTGCATCTATCTGTAACTTTTAAATAGCTTAGTTTGTTAATCCATAATAGACTGATTGAATTGAAAAGATAAAAATAACTTATGTTGTGATGAATGACAACATACTCAAATGAAAAGTGAAATGATGCACTGACAGTTGACGACATTTAAAGTGAATTAATGGAAAATTGTGTTTTGAGACTAATAGTTCTTAGGCGTCAATAAATTGAGGATGAAAGTGTGTTATTATTTTACTTTTCAATACATATTCATATATCTTTTTTTCAATTTTTTATGCAGATTTATTTAGGTTGGTTTCTGTTCAGATTTTGAAATTAACTCTTAATCTATTTTCACTCATTTTCTTGAATTTTTTTTCTTATTGTGTGTGTGTTTTTGAATGTGGGATGATAATTCTAAGTGTCCCATAGAATTAAGAAAAAAAAAAAAAAGATTAATATATATTTTTTAACAAATGAATTTTTCCCCCATGTTTATCCATTTAACAAACAAGTTAAAGAATTTAAATACTTGTATCATCACATAGAATTTTTTTTTTTGTTGTTTTTTTGTTTTTAAAGAAATTATTCTTCTAGTATTGCAATTGCTAATGCCATTGTACTGAAGTTTGATTCTTCAAAAATCATCCAGATTTTTTAAGTTATTATGCAGTTGTTAAATATGATTTATTTTTAAATCAAAAGATATAACTACTTTATTATTAGCATCTCTATGATTTTAAATGATAATTTTTTAAAGCAAGCAGAAATTTAAAGGAATTAATTACATGTAATCTTATGCCATCAGATAGATATTGGAAGATCTAAAAAAATGGCATCATGAGCACTTTATTGATACTTATGTACTAATGCAATCACTTTTGCAATTTTTTACAGTAAACTTATATATGGAATGCAAATTAGTGTTTTTTATGAATTTCTTTAGAAAGCTTCCCAAGTTGTCGTAAGTTGGCAGACATTATCAACATATGAAAAGAAAGCAGACTAGCAATTTACAAAGTTCGTTACATTCCTCAAAAGTACTTAAAAGTCTTTAGGTTTTTTGGAAATGATTTTAGATCCTTAAATGTCCGTAATTTTATTCATTTGATATTTCTTTTTTTTAACAACTGTGCCATTTTAAGTGTTAAGTAACGGTTTTTAAGGAATATTTTTTCAGCGATTCATTGGCAAATATGTATTTGATGGGATATCATTTCAATTCTTTCCAACTTAATGGTGGACTTCCCAAATTTTTGGGCACAAGACCCTGCCTGTACATTAACATTTCAAAAGTTTTTTTTTTTTTTTTTTTTTTAGTGAGCTCATGAAATATTACATTAAAACAACTTTTCCTTTTTGATATACAATTTCTTTTATTATGCGATGCTAAATTTAGTGACTTATCATTTTAGTGATTTCAAGATCAATTTGTATACAAAAAATTTTTTTCTGGAACTGCAAATGTTTTTTTTTTTTTTTTTTTTTTTTTTTTTTACAAACATAATAAAGTTGATAAATATCATTAAAATAATGACAGTCTATTAGAATTATAATTAAAAAATAGCATTTAAATAAAATATCTTTATTTTCCTCTGTCAGATTTTAAAATGGCATTTTGGCATCTTAAAAATATTTGATTCTGAAAAATAAGTAAGATAACCTATACTATAAAACACATTTTCCAAAACACTTCGTAGCAAAAGCAAAAAATATAATTTGGACACCACATGACTTCCTTGCACAGTCCATTAAATTATACCCGTTTTTTGCTGCATCTCATTTAAAATAGTTTCCTCGAATTTCATTGGAGATATCTTTGTCATTTAATCAATTCAGTTCTCACTTCGGGGCAAGGCAAAAATACATAAAAACTCAGAACCTCTTCATTAAAAATTGTAAAACAGAGGAAAATCTAAAGCACCAAATTACAGTTAAAAACAGTTTTAAAAGTTTTTTTTTTTTTTTTTTTTTTTTTTTTTTTTTTTTTTACATTTAAAATTAGAATTTCTATGCAAAAGCAAACATTTTGTCCAGTGGGCAGGAAGCAGATTTTTTGATGTGCAAAACTGAATGTTTACTTTGGTTCCATTCGCCAAAAAGGCGCAGGCTTCATGAAAAAAATGGCAAAGTGGCGGCTTCATTAGGCTTAGTAGAACTGTAACAATGTTTAAATTGTAGATAATTTTACAATTATTGTATGCAGATTAACTAAAGGCATAAAAACCTTAACCAGAACATAAATCAATCATTTTAACTAAAAAAATGCACAATTTACGAAAATAAAAGAATACTAAACTGAGCTCACCAAGCTGGGTAATAGAGTGGGTATGTATATATATGTATTTGTATATTCATGGTTTAAATATGATACCCAAAATTTTTTTCGATTACAATACTTCCTTTATTTCAATACAAGCTACTTAATTATTCAAAAATTTGTTTCATCTCTCTTTTTTTATATTTTTTAAAAGCCTTTTTTTCCTGTGCAATTGTTTAGAATATACAAATGTATGTCAATTTTCTCTAAAAAATTCACATTATACTTTTGTTTTCTGAATTTTTTATTCAAAAATCTGCTGGCTTTTTGCTCTTAGGAAGCAGGATAATTTTTAGACCTCAGACCTTGGAAGGTTTAGAAGGATTTGAAAGCAAGATTTATAGAGAAAGTAACAAAATGAAAAATGTCTCCATGGTATTAATACATAATGAATGGGTTTTAAAGAAAA